ATATATAAAACATTGCTATGTCGTATCATGTTGAAAGTAATAAAAATATTTGTCATACATATTTTTTCACACAAAAATCTTGAAAACTTGAATCTGTTTTTAAAGAAGCAAAATGTTCTCTTGAGTTGTCTTAATTAGGTTTTGAGAGAACTGAAAATAAAAACGTGCAAGATACTATATTTTTCACTCTTCTAAATTAAATTTCCTCCAGTATTTAAACGAGTAATTGTCTGACTGTTCATTTTTAAGTCTTTAAGGCGATCTTCAAACACGAAACGTATCATTCTGGTATTACCATTGCATTTAGTAGTGTTTTAATACATTAAACTTGGTTTTGTTAAAAATTCGGTCTTTTTAGTAGCGTTCAGTTTACTGTTATCGTGAAAAATTAGAATATGTCATACAGTTTTTCTTTTTCCGTTTTCCAAATGTATTATCATCAAGCAGGAAAACCTTTTTCTATGAATATTGTGAAGAGTTTAATCACATATCTATATAAGAAATCCATATTTTTATCATTTTTTTGAGGAAAAAAGATGTTAAAAAAAAAAACAGATATTATTTAATACATTAAGCTAACGAGACTTTTTAACAGTTATTTTAGACACTGTCGACAACGTATCCTTTGAAAAAAGTCAAGATTTTAGTATTTGTTCATGCGAAGATATATGCAATATAAGCTATGTTGGTAACATTTTGTGACCTTCACCCTCAAATTCGGAATGACGTTCCTAAAGTTTTCTTAAATATCGAGTCTCTCTCATATGTCCTTCTTGGTTTTTCACTAAGACTTGAGCTTTCTTAAACGCAATTGGTGTACCGCTTATCGTGCTATCTAATATGAGGTTGAACATACTATTGTTCAAAGAATTTTCGCATACTAAATATAAATCCATGCTAAGATCTGTGATTTTTTTCAAAATATGAGCCTCCCCGAGCCTAATGGCTCCGCCGCCACTGGTAACGGCTGCTACTTATTGAAAAATAATTATTTTTGAAAAAAAATTGGTAGAATGATAGAGAAGACATGACACTTTTTCTACGAAGACAAAAATTCGTGATCGAATTAGGGTTGGACACTCTATACAATACGAATTTTACTATAAATCTATCTCTTAAGAGTCAAGGAAAGTAAAAGAATTTATCCATCACTAGTTTCAAAATTTCGATTTGAAATAATTAATTATAGGTCAACTGAAATGAATGAAAGCGACATCTATATTCTAGTGTATGCATATAATCGAAGAAAAATGGATCTTCTTAAAATATCATGAAAAAAATAACTGTGATAAATATTTTTGATACCTTGTTTGTAGTATGTAATAAAAATCATTGAGTTAATTATGATTCGCTATCGGTTCTTCCGATGACATCTATTCACTGATCTCGATTGGCAATGACAGATATTCCCAATTTCAAATAAAATTTCATTTGTTACTTTTATTTCATACGCATTAATAATCGTTCTTCAATAAATAATGTATGATCAAACTACTTTGACAACTAATCGTCGATTATCGATGACTAATAACAACAAATCTCGTTTGTCATCTTCAACAGTTTTCAAACGTCAATCATCAGGTCATATTCCATTACTCACTACAAATTCTCGTCCATTATCACATATAACAAATCTTCCACAACGATCTAATATTAATAATAGACCAAAACGTAAACTAGATGAATATGAAAATGATTCATTTGAATACGATGTAACTCCAAGTAATTATGCTTCTGTACGAAAACAACAACAAACACAATTATCATCGATACAACGTGTTAAACCAGAACAACCATTAACATCAGTTTGGTTTTTTTTCTTGTTTCTAAATAAAAAGTTCTTAATTATTTTCTTTTTTCCTATAATAATAGAAAATAAAAGTCTTACCAGAAGATGGATCTTTACGATTAGTAACATCAACTGTTCAAGGAATGAAACATTGGACAAATAAACATCTTCCATATCCAATTTTATTTGAAGTTTTTGGTAAATTTAAATTATTTTAATTGAAATATTATTTAGATTTTTTTCTTAAGGTAAACTTGATTCTCAAGTAACACCTTTATCATTAACAAATACACGTCAATTTTCATTAATTGATGAAAAAGATCGTATTGAATGTATATTTGCTGAAATGGATCAATCATTTTCTAATATTGATCGAGATGTTCAACTTCGGTAGAATATTTAATTATTTATATTAAATATTTAATTATTAGATTTCTTTTCTTTTTTGTTTAAATTTAGTGTGATTTGTCGATTAGAATCTGATAGTAATATAGCTCGTTGTATAGCCATTCGTATAGCTAACAAAGATGAATGGCATGAAAGACGTTCTATTATTAAACAATGTGATATACAATTAAATGATGACGATATTAATTCAAAAAAATTTAAACGACATAACAGAAAATGAAAAAAACAATTATTTTTCTTTGATTTTTTTAAATGTTTTATTTATTAGATGTTTATATCTAATAGTCATATTGTTGTTATTTATTTAGTCAGATAGAATAGAAAATATCAATTACTTATTTGATTTTATTTTTCTAGATGCCTGACGATAAAGAAGCACCTGTATATACAGCTGAAAAAATTTTGCTTAAACGAATACGAAAAGTAAGAATAAATGATAATTTAGTAATTTAACTTGGCAAAATAGACTTGATATATAATAATACTTCCAGAAATATACAGAGATTGTCAGGATCGATAAATCAGAAGGTCTATTAGAAGTTTTTTGCTAAAATTGACTGGTTTTTGGAGTTGGTGAGCAAAAGAAACAATAAAATGATGAAATTCTGCTGAAGAAAAGCGAAAAATTTTCAAGATTAGAATTCCTCTGAATACTAAGTAGAAATGCTTTTAATAATTTGATTTTAATTTTGATTCTTGCATCATTGATTAATTATTTTATATAAAAGATAAAGATTCAAATATTCTTAGCACGTATCTAATTAATATTTTCTACAACTCTGACTAGCTGTAGTTCTGGACAGAAGATCAGCTTGACTCAGACTTCTTGAGAACTCTGTATACACTAACTAAGCACATACTAGACAAAGAGTAAGTTTATGTCGCAATGTAGTCAGCATGTTATTGAACGGGTGGTCGAAGACAAATAGCCGTTAGTGACTTGTTCAGGACCATTCCATGGTTGTTGGTACTGATTCTTGAATACAGTATTTGATGGGATATGCGTCGAATAAGGTGACTAATCGGCCAGAGTGATAAATTTGAATAGTTGGAATTTAAGTCTAAATTAATTTTTCTCTTGATAAAGAAGTCAGTTAAAGACTGTTGATATATGAATATGTACTTAAGTGGAGAAACAAATCCTTACTATCTAAAGACAAAAAATAGTTTTAAATTGATTCAGAAGAAAAAATTCCATTATCTATAAATGTCTAGTCTTGATACGTTTACGAGCATCATTGATCATTTTATTTTCTTCATAATCTCATTTAAGTTTAAGCAATTCTCTTGTGATTATATTGAGACTAAAATCTAACATTTAAAATATCAGCAAAAGAGATTTTATTCAAAGAAATATTTTTCTAATGTGTCGAAATGATAATGATGCAAATAAACTCTTTTTAACTAAGTTTTAAAACAATATATTCAAGGGGGAAAAAGCGGATCCTGGTGGATCCTGGGATCCATTAGGATCCACCAGAATCCATTAGAGCTCATTATCATTTATGAAGATAGATTAATGTTCTGAGTAGCCACAAAAGCAAGGAAATCAACCAGATTCATAAAATAAGGATGCATAATTCAAAATATGTTCTGGATGAATCAATGGGAGCATCATGTGCTATTTATACAACTATGTCTAGTTTACTTTACAAAGGAAAAGCGGACCTTGAGACATCCCACGATCTATTGGAGTCCATCCGAAGCCATTAGAATACATGGAAACAAAGTAAACAGACGAAGAATTGGCCCTAGAATTTTTGAAAACAAAGAAAATAGAAATCTCGGAGATTGAGAGCCTAGTGGGCCCCGATGAACTTTTGAGTATCGGAATGAGTTCTGCGGTTTATACGATAGAATAAGATCTATCAAGATTTAGGTGTTCCTGATTGGTTTCAGATTATTATGATGCTTGTTAATTTCTGCTGAGTTCTTCTGGATTTCAAAAGATTGTACTAGATAGTGTTGAATTTTTGCTAGAGAAAAGCTCAAGTCTTTTTGAGCTAGATTTCTGACATAGGCAGCAACGGCGCTGCAGAGGTTCACCATTTTTTTCGGGGAAAATGCGAAAAACGGAAAAAAGTGTGTAACCATAAAATTTGAAGATACCGACAGAATTTTAATTGAGATTCAATCAAGATCGTAACAGTTTATTGCTATTTCCCAATCATATATCGTCGAAGAAGCTGCTAAACCTTGAGAAAGCCGTGTAGCCACGGAATTTCAAGACCTCGACAAGGTTCATAACAGGATTCTATCAGTAT